TATACGATCAGATAACGTTAAAACTCCTAAATGCGTTGCCAATGTTTTATTCCCATCTGCAAAACCGACTGGACATGGTGGGATGCTTATCGTGTGAGACAGAAGTGATATATCTCCCGTCATATGATGGGAAACTTATGTATCCAAGATAAGATCACCATGTTTACTCTTACCAGAAAGCTTATCAGAGGTGACGGTTGTCTTCTCCTGTATCAACTGAGACAAAGCTTTCCATTGCTCCTGTGTGAACTCGGGAAAAGTAGACGAGTTTGAAGTCGTCGCATGTGCATTATGCACACGATTTGTAGAACTCTTGTTGTTCCGACTGCCATCGCTGTTATCTGTAGCAGAGCTACCGCCATTACTACGTCCACGACCACTGGTGTTCCTACGACCTCCTCTGTTTGAGCCTCTGCCTCCTCTGTTTGTACCTCCACTGTTTTGAATACGATCTTCCCACCAATCGGGAAACCCCACTAACTGCCAGCAGTTTTCTTTCTCATGGCCATTACGGCCACAATGGGAGCACTGAACACTTTTAGATCGGGCTGAAGTTGAAGAAGGCTGCTCTGTTGATCGTGTAGCAAACCCCACGGTGGACTGTTGTTGCTCGCGATCTCTTGTTGAATTAATCCTCTGTTCTTCGCGAATAACTTTGGCGTATATTTCACCCAGATCGTAAGAGTCAGAACCAATGATGCTTGCGCAGAGACTTCCAAAGCGAGCATCATCTTAACCCATAAGGAATTGGTGCGTCTTTTCCTCCTCTCGTTCTGCTTCGATTTTAGGCAAATTCCCACAAGAACAATCATGAATTGGTTTGTACATCTCGAGCTCCTCCCACATAGTTGATAAACACCCAAAGTATTGTAGAACGCTTTGACCTTCTTGTCGACAAGATGCGATTTGAGCTTTGAGATGATGAACGCGAACTTTGTTTCCCACCGAGAAACGTTTTTTTAGGTTTTCCCATAACTTATGGGAATCAGATATGAATGTTACAGTTGATCGAACTCGAGACTCTATGGAGGAACGAATCCACCCTACGATCATGGAATTGACCGATAGCCAGAGCTCAAGATTCGGATTATCAAACGCAGGTTTAGGGAACGTACCGTCGATAAACCCTATCTTTCGTTTGGCTCGAAGTGCGTTCAACATCTCCGTAGACCATTCGTTGTAATTTTTACCAGTTAACATCACCGACGTTATTAATGCACCAGGATTGTCAGATGCATACAAGGAATAAGGAGTTATCGTAGTTTACTTATCCGTGGATGAACCTGTTCCTCTTTGTGATGTAGACTCATCAATGATAGACATTATTCAACAAGAACTTTGGAGAGAGAAAAAAAATGAGACAAAGGAAGAAAGATGAATTTTAGGTTTCAGGAAAATCGCTCTGAATATTAGAGAATATATTGTGATAAGGATGAGTATGATACGATAAGGTTCTATTAGGTTTAGATAACTTCAATTTCAAGTTAAGATAGGATTGACGTTTGTATATAAATACTTGTATGATTCATCGTTAACAACACACATCAATATTAAAAGTACTTTCTCAGAATTACATGGTATCAGAGCCTCGTTTGTTAACCCAAGTAGGGTGGCCCAAAAAAGGGTTTATTACTGGTCCTAAAGTGGGATTCAGTTCGAGATGGGCTGATAAGAGCCATCATTTCGAGGGGGCGTGTTGGAATTCCACATCAGAAGTTTAAAGGGACCAACACTAATATATATAAGACTTGGGTCAATCCACTCATTGCCCATTGGTTTTGAGTTGGAAGCCCATATAACTTAACAAGTACAACTCAAAACTGACTTTTGGAGTCTTCGGTAATTTATGAACAGACAAAAAAATGAAGTGAACTAGAATTTGGTATATGCGATAATAGTATTTTATTTTTCGTTTTTCCATTTGGTTAGAAAGCTAGTATTAAGTACCTTTTAAGTTTTAATAGTAAACCTTTCAACAAAAAAAAAAACTTTTCCTTTTTGACAAAACGAAAGGTTTTGTTTTGAAAAGAAAAAGAAAAAACAATTCCCCTCTTTCTATCGCTTAATCGCTTTCCATTCGAGTCTTTGTCTGATTTTAGGGCCCACTTCCTACCTTTTCCGCTTCATTATTTGACACGTGTCCAAAGATATGTGATCCACCCGCTCAGGGTCTTTGAACTCTTTATGAGCCTAAAGCTGAGCATTACTATAATGGGCTGGGCCTTAAACCGGAAAACGGTCGAGAGAGAAACTCTTCACAGGTGCATTTTGGTAATTTAACAACTGGTAACTAAAGACTAAAGAGGCGAGGCACGGCGCGGGCTCCGGGACGTTGTCGGCGATGACAGCGGCTCATTCTCACCGGTTCTCGACGGCGGTGAATCCCATCAACATTAGCTCGCTTTCGAAGCAACTGCTTCAGCTTGGCCGGATCAACAATTCCGATACGTATCGAGAGCTCACCCGTCAAAAAGAACTCCTAGTGTCATCGCTCATCTCGAAGCTCAATGTCTGCACCGGCCTCGACCAAATCAAGCAAGTTCACGGTCACGTCATCCGTCAAGGACTCGATCAAAGCTGTTACATCATCGCCAAGCTAATCCGCACGCTCACCAAGCTCGGTGTCCCCATGGATCCGTACCCTCGCCGCGTGATGGAGCCTGTTCATTTCCGTAACCCGTTTCTATGGACCGCCGTGATCCGCGGCTACGCGGTTCAAGGTGAATTGCTCGAATCCATTTCTATGTATGGGTGTATGAGGAAAGAAGGGATCACCCCTGTTTCATTCACTTTCTCTGCTCTCTTGAAAGCCTGTGGATCGGTGGGAGATTTGAATTTGGGTCGGCAGTTTCACGCACAGACGTTTCGTCTCAGAGGGTTTTGTTTCGTGTACGTTGGGAACACGATGATCGATATGTACGTGAAGTGCGGATCTATCGACTGTGCGCGTAAGGTGTTCGACCAAATGCCTGAGCGAGACGTAATATCGTGGACAGAGCTTATCGCAGCGTACGCGAGAGCTGGGAATATGGAATCTGCTGCAGAACTGTTTGAAAGCTTGCCTACGAAGGATATGGTGGCTTGGACCGCGATGGTTACAGGATTCGCGCAGAACGCTAAACCTCAAGAAGCTTTAGAGTACTTCAATAGAATGGAGAAATCAGGAATTAGAGCTGATGAAGTCACCGTCGCCGGATTCATATCGGCCTGTGCGCAGCTCGGAGCAAGCAAATACGCTGATCGAGCCGTCGAAATCGCTCGAAAATCAGGTTATTCTCCAAGCGATCACGTTGTTATCGGGTCTGCGTTGATAGATATGTACTCGAAATGCGGGAATGTAGAAGAGGCGATGAACGTTTTTGAGTCGATGAGGAACAAGAACGTCTTCTCTTACAGTTCGATGATCCTTGGTCTAGCTATTCACGGGCGTGCTCAAGAGGCTTTGGACCTGTTCCATTACATGGTAACACAGACCGCGATAAAACCGAACACGGTTACATTCGTTGGCGTCCTTACGGCTTGTAGCCACGCGGGGCTCGTAGACCAAGGACGTCAGATATTCGCTTCTATGCATCAAACGTTCGGCGTAAAGCCAACGCGTGAGCACTATACTTGTATGGTCGATCTTCTTGGCCGTGCGGGACGGTTACAAGAAGCGCTTGACATGGTTAAAACCATGTCTGTTGAGCCACACGGAGGTGTGTGGGGTGCGTTGCTCGGTGCTTGTAGGATCCACAAGGATCCAGACGTTGCAGAGATTGCTGCAAAGCATTTGTTTGAATTGGAACCGGAGATCATCGGAAACTATATCTTGCTCGCTAACGTCTACGCTTCAGCTGGAGACTGGGACGGTGTGTTAAGTGTTCGGAGACTGATTAAAGACAAGGGTTTGAAGAAGACACCTGCGGTTAGTTGGGTTGTGGATAAGAATGGTCAGATGCACAAGTTTTTCCCCGGAAACATCAACCATCCGATGTCGGATAAGATCAAAGAGACGTTAGAAGAGCTTGTACAGAGATTAACGGTGTTAGGGTATAAACCGGATCTAAGCTCTGTGCCTTATAACGCGAGTAATGATGAGAAGAGGTCGATATTGATTCGGCACACGGAGAAGCTGGCTTTAGCGTTCTCTTTGCTGACTACGAGCAGGGATTGTACGATAAAGATAATGAAGAATCTGAGGATGTGTCAAGATTGTCACACGTTTATGCGTTTGGCGTCGGAGGTTACAGAGAGGGTGATTATAATGAGGGATAATATGAGGTTTCACCATTTTAGGAATGGAGCTTGTTCATGTGGTGATTTTTGGTGAGAATCGAGGTTTGTATACAGGCGAAAGTCGAACTCTACTCTGAGAAGATTTCTTGTGAAACAAGAAAAAGGCTCTGTGAAAAAACATCACGCCAACACTTCGAAATTAAAGAGATTCAGATTCCTTCAAGAATTCGAAGACATTTCGTGAAAGACTTGAGAGTCTTAATCGAAGAAGTTGAAGACATCTCGTTGAGACTTGAGAGTCTTAGTTGAAAACGCCATGGACCTTAATCATCTGAATCTGATCATTATGTGATTTAGACCTGCTTGGTTATGTTTATGATGGGCTTGGGATTGGGCTTAGTCTTGGTGTCTCTATAGACCCAACCACACATTTTCATTTTTTATATGAGATGCATGTGTACTTTTTTATTTTCATTTTTTTGCTCGAGATAATGTATGCCAAATTATTTATAGAAATAAAATAGTCAAGTCATATAGTTGAAAATTACATTTCTAAAGTATTTTTCTTTTGTTTGACTCGCACGTTTCTAAAGTCCATATACAACAATAAGAGTTTCTGAAATTATGAAGACTTAACAGACAGAATTATGGACCACAAAGAGAAGAGGTATATTCGGAGATGGCAAAAGGATCGAAGAGAGAGATGTATTAAACAGAATGCGTGACGTTTATGAAGAGCAAAACAACGAGCATTGTCCATTTAATTTATCCAAACGGCAGAAGCCAAATCTCTGGTGGGGCCTATTTCTTAGGAAGTCAAACAAAACGCACCGTCGCTGCGGATCACTTACCTTCCTCTTTTACGCCTTAATGAAACAACATTGAACAGAGCAAGAGAAACAAAGGCAAAGGAATCTCAAACTCTCTGAGAAAAAATCCAGCTCCGTGTGATCCACAAGGTAACGCATCGTTCAATCTCATATAGTCTTCGTGTGAATTTCGAAGTTTAAAACAAAATTTATCTGAGAAATTCTTCTGATCTCGAATTAATCGATTTTTTAACTTGCGATTTCGATAGATCTCTGGTGTTTGGATTTTGATTCGATCTTCCTAATTGTGTAAACTGTAATTTCCTCAAACGCGGGTTTTGAACGATTGGGGTTTATCATTTTCCCACTCAATGTTCTTAGCTCTTATTCTAAAGCTTCTTCTCTTCCAGTGAACATTTTTTGTTTTGCAGTTTATGGGCGTTAACTTCAATAAGCCTCTTTGAGTTTGAGGATGAAACTCTAGAAATAATTCTTTTTGCTTCCACGCGAAAAACAAAACAACGAAAATGAAGCGTTTTGTCTACATTAACGATGATGAAGCTTCAAAGGAGCTTTGTTGTGATAACCGTATATCTAACAGAAAGTATACATTGTGGAATTTTCTTCCGAAGAACTTGTGGGAGCAATTCAGGTGAATGATTCATTTTGATTTTATATGATTTTCTAAACATTTGATCATTTGCCCTTTCTCTGATCAATTTTTGTTGTTGTTGTTGTTCTTTGCAGCCGGTTCATGAACCAGTATTTTTTGTTGATTGCATGCCTTCAGCTATGGTCACTTATCACTCCTGTGAATCCTGCAAGCACTTGGGGTCCTTTGATATTCATATTTGCGGTCTCTGCTTCAAAGGAAGCTTGGGATGATTACCACAGGTACCTCTCAGATAAGAAAGCGAATGAGAAAGAAGTTTGGATCGTGAAAGAAGGGAACAAGAAGCATGTATGAATCACTTTTGCGAGATTTTTTGCTTTCTTTTTTTTAGGTGATATTTTAGGCTTTACTGTATTAGTATCTTTGTTGTAGATCCAAGCACAGGACATACAGGTTGGCAATATTGTCTGGTTGCGTGAGAATGATGAAGTTCCTTGTGATCTAGTTTTGCTTGGTACCTCAGATCCACAAGGTGTTTGCTATGTAGAGGTAGGCATGCTGATTGATTTATGCTACAATCTAGTTTCCAAGTAGATGCTCTAAAAGGGAACTCATGCTACATGCAGACTGCTGCTTTAGACGGTGAAACTGATCTCAAAACAAGAGTCATACCCTCAGCATGCGTGGGAATTGATTTAGAATTATTACACAAAATGAAAGTAAGAGTTCTTGTAAATAATCATGTCGCTCCTGGCTTACCATGCTGTTTTTTTTTTATAAAAGGATTTGATTTTTAGCTATATGTATTTTCAGGGTGTGATTGAATGTCCTATTCCAGATAAGGATATTCGAAGATTTGATGCAAACATGCGCTTATTTCCGCCGTTTATTGACAATGACGTCTGTTCTTTAACCATAAAAAACACTCTTCTTCAGTCCTGTTACTTGAGAAATACAGAGTGGGCTTGTGGAGTATCTGTCTATACAGGTAAATTGTTATTTCTAAAATTGGCTTTTTTTTGGGTTTTGAAAGAGATTTCTAAGTTGGAGGACCAAGGAGTCTAAATATCTCTGGTTAGTCGTATGATTTAAGTTGATCTCGAAAATGCTTTGATGATTTTTTCATACTCTTATAGGCAACGAAACTAAGCTTGGTATGAGTAGGGGTATAGCGGAGCCGAAACTTACTGCTATGGATGCAATGATTGATAAATTGACTGGAGCAATATTCGTTTTCCAAATTGTCGTTGTTATGGTTCTCGGTGTTGCTGGAAATGTTTGGAAAGATACAGAAGCAAGGAAGGTTAGATGCCCATCTAATCTTCATACAATGTTATGTCCATAATAAATCTTGTACGCTTGTTTTTTTATTTTTTATTATTGGGCAGCTCTGAACTATACGAATTTGGTTCTTGTGTTTTTCAGCAATGGTATGTGCAATATCCAGAGGAAGCCCCGTGGTATGAGCTGCTTGTAATCCCTTTGCGGTTTGAGCTTCTGTGTTCCATCATGATACCCATCTCCATAAAGGTAGTTATAACTTCCTTGCTATACTTGTGGAAACTCTGGTAGCATTTTGCTAGCTCTCGAGTGACATTCATAATGCATTAAGTGACTTCTTGGCATGTGAAAGAGATATTGGATTGCAAATCGGGGATTAATGATAATCTTTACGGAACAACATTGATCTTGAAGACAACGCAATTTATATTAAATTAGCATCCCTGTTTCTTCTAAGCACCTGGTTGATGTAATTTGGCAGGTGTCTCTAGATTTGGTTAAGGGTCTTTACGCAAAATTTATAGAATGGGATGTGGAGATGATAGATCAAGAGACTGGTACAGCATCTTATGCAGCAAAGTAAGTTCATGATAGAGGCAAACTACCTCAGAAGATTCACCTGTGAACACGTTAATCTGACGATCTACTTTTATGTGTGGCAGCACAGCAATAAGTGAGGACCTCGGGCAAGTAGAGTACATTTTAACCGACAAAACTGGGACACTGACAGACAACAAGATGATATTTAGAAGATGCTGTATTGGTGGCATTTTTTATGGGAATGAGAATGGAGATGCATTAAAAGGTTTAATACTTCATTTACGTGTGTATTATGTTGTCAGTTTTTGCCCACCCAGTTTGTGTTATAATAAATTAAGCCTCTGCATCTGTGAGTATGCATCAGAGGAGTATATTGCTTCTAACTTATCTTGATCATCTTTCTGATCAGATGAAAAACTTCTTAATGTCATCACCAGTGGCTCTACCGATGTCATCCGATTTCTTACGGTTATGGCAATCTGCAATACAGTTATACCTGTGCGGAGGTAATTTTCAACTTCTTGAATTTTCAATTTTCATAAGATCTGTTTTTGGCAGTCAAGCATGGGAAAAAAACTTCATAGATTGTTTCTCAGTTGTGCATATTTATTCCGTTTATCTAACAATTTTCATTTCATTATCGTTTTTTGTGTGGGTGTTTCCATCGAATAGCAAAGCTGGAGATATTGTATACAAGGCACAATCTCAGGATGAAGACGCTCTTGTTATTGCTGCTGCAAAGTTGCATATGGTCTTTGTCGGCAAAAATGCCAATCTTTTAGGTAATAGTCATTATATATCATTTTTGCTCTCCATGGAATATGTAGCTAAAAAGTAGTTCTCATTTATTGTTTCGTCCTCTTTATTGAATGCAGAAATTAGGTTTAATGGTTTGATTATCCGTTATGAGGTACTGGAAATTCTTGAATTCACTTCAGATCGAAAAAGAATGTCAGTGGTAGTGAAAGATTGTCAGAATGGGAAAATTATTCTTTTGTCAAAAGGTGCTGATGAATCAATCCTTCCCTACGCATGCGCTGGTGAGTTGACGTATCTCTTCTTAATATAAGACGAGGAAGTAGTGTGCTACTGAATGTGCTTTTAGAGCTGATGGCCAATTATTTTCGAGTATGCTATTAGGTCAGCAAACCAGAACTATTGCTGAAGCTGTAGAACATTATGCCCAGCTGGGACTCCGAACATTGTGTTTGGCTTGGCGTGAACTGGAAGAAGATGAGTATCTAGAGTGGTCTGTAAAGTTTAAAGAGGCTAGTAGTGTTCTGGTCGATAGGGAGGTAACTAGAACAATTCTTCTCTGTTTTGGTTGCTCACTTTAAGCAAATATGAAGTATGCTCAGTTTGCTTAATTTAGACGATGCACTTGATTGCCTCAAATTGATGATTTTCCCATGTCACAGTGGAGAATTGCTGAGGTCTGTCAAAGACTAGAACATGATCTTTATATTCTGGGGGTCACGGCAATAGAAGACCGTTTGCAGGTAAAAATATAAATGTCCAGGACATAGACGGTTCACAATGTATAATGTAGCATTATAAGTAAAAGAGGACCGTCCTATAAATATTTACCTTATTTTTTTAGGATGGTGTACCAGAGACAATTGAGACGCTAAGAAAAGCAGGGATAAACTTTTGGATGCTGACTGGAGATAAGCAGAACACAGCTATACAGATTGCTCTTTCATGTAATTTTATCTCCCCGGGTACGTTGGGTTCATTTCCTTTTCGTTGTTATTTGTGTGAGTTAGCTTAGTGTATTGCTACTTATCATGCTTTCCTTACCATAATCATGTTTATATCAGAGCCTAAAGGTCAGCTTCTATTGATTGATGGAAAAACTGAAGAGGATGTTTCTCGGAGTTTGGAGAGGGTTTTGCTTACAATGCGGATTACAGCATCAGAACCCAAGGTTCACCTTCTAAGCTAAATTCTTGAATTTTTGCATCCTTGGAACAACTTTCTATCACCTGTATCAGAGACGAGTTTTATGGGTCGTACAGGATGTGGCGTTTGTTATTGATGGCTGGGCTCTAGAAATTGCTCTGAAACACCATCGCAAGGATTTTGTTGAACTAGCTATACTTTCTAGGACAGCAATATGTTGTCGTGTGACACCTTCACAAAAAGCTCAGGTACCCCTCCCAACGTTTAGGTGCTATTGTTTCTTATTACATTTATGTAAATTTTTAGATTTATCCTGTTACCAAGTGGCCTTTCAATGCTCATCATTTTATTTGATGTTTTGGTTGAACCTTTTCTTCGCGACTCGACAGTTAGTTGAAATCTTAAAATCCTGCGATTATCGAACCCTGGCAATTGGTGATGGTGGGAATGATGTAAGAATGATACAGCAAGCTGATATCGGAGTTGGCATCAGCGGAAGAGAAGGACTGCAGGCAGCAAGAGCTGCAGATTATAGCATTGGAAGTAAGAGCATTAGCAAAATCTTTATTTTCTGTATATTAACTTGAAGATACGTATCTTATACATTCTCCCTCCAGATGTTTCTAAATTTTATTGATATATAAAAGTAACTTTGTTGTTCAGATATATTGTTCTAGCCGGTCAAAACAGATCTAATTGGTACTTTCATGGAATGATCTTTGCTTGCAGGATTCAGGTTTCTGAAAAGACTGATTCTTGTTCATGGGAGGTATTCATATAACCGGACAGCATTTCTGTCCCAGTATTCCTTCTACAAGTCATTGTTGATATGCTTCATCCAGATCTTGTAAGTTTATTATTTCCTCAGATATGTTTTCAGCAAACAGCATCCAGGTCATTTTCTGAAATACTGACAACAGAATCTACACAGCTTCTCGTTTATTTCAGGCGTTTCTGGAACCAGTCTTTTCAATTCAGTTAGCTTGATGGCTTATAACGTGTTCTACACCAGTATACCTGTTCTTGTTAGCGTAGTCGACAAAGATCTTAGTGAAGCATCAGTAATGCAACACCCTCAAATTTTGTTCTACTGCCAAGCTGGAAGGTATGCTTAGTTCTAGATCTGCTTTAATTCCGTTGAGGGTTTCGCTAATTGTGAAGCTAAGTGTTTATACGTTATTGCATATCTATAAATTTCATGTTCAGGCTTCTTAATCCGAGCACATTTGCGGGTTGGTTTGGCCGGTCTCTTTTTCACGTGAGTACATTGTCTTTACTGCATATACCTAATATACAAATGTACTATATAAAACTCCACACACCTAATTGAAATGCTTAAGATAACCTTTTCTTCTTCTTATATCTTGCTCATGTTGCCTATGTATAAATCTGAAATCTGGGGTGATTTTTGCAGGCGATAGTTGTATTTGTAATAACCATCCACGCATATGCTTATGAGAAAAGTGAAATGGAGGAGCTTGGAATGGTAGCTCTCTCTGGATGTATATGGCTTCAAGCTTTCGTTGTAGCTCAAGAAACCAAGTACAGACTTATCCATCACATTTACAAATCCGCATGTTCATGATACAAACACTCATGCTCAATACTAATCCTCTCTTCCTTTTTCTTTTGTTTTCCTTGATGTTCGTTGCAGTTCCTTCACAGTGTTGCAACACCTTTCCATTTGGGGAAACCTAGTCGGTTTCTACGCCATAAACTTTCTCTTCAGCGCCATACCGTCATCGGGAATGTACACGATCATGTTCCGTCTCTGTTCTCAACCTTCTTACTGGATAACAATGTTTGTAAGTATCAAAACAATTCAGCTGCTAAAACTTACACCAAAGTAACTTGTGTTTGTTTGTTTGTTTAATCTTCTTCCTTGTTGCAGCTCATAGTTGGAGCAGGGATGGGTCCTATCTTCGCATTGAAGTACTTCCGTTACACATACAGACCAAGCAAGATCAATATACTCCAACAAGCTGAACGTATGGGCGGTCCAATACTGACTCTAGGAAACATCGAAACCCAACCAAGGCCCATCGAGAAAGAAGTATCTCCATTATCCATCACTCAGCCCACCAAGAACCGTAGCCCTGTCTACGAGCCTCTCTTATCAGATTCTCCAAACGCAACACGTCGCTCTTTTGGCCCTGGAACTCCATTCGAGTTTTTCCAGTCTCAGTCAAGATTATCTTCTTCTTCTTCTGGTTATACCAGAAACTGCAAAGACAACTAAAAAAAAAAATACATTTCTTTCATCTTTTTTTTTTCAAAAAAATCACAGTTCCTTGACGTTTGTAACTTCTCTTAACTGAAAGAAAGAAATGGACAAAAAGTAGAACATTTGTATATAAGACTACTTTACTGGATTCATCATATACATTCTCTTGTCTGCAAAATAGATTTTATTTCATTATTAAAGATCTCTCTGTGAGGGAAAAACCAAATAGAGTTCCACTACAACAGTATTTGAAGAGAGAAACAAATGGTGATATTGAAGGGTAATGTTACAATCTCGATCTACGTATAAACCTTTTCGCCGATCTCAGCTTAGACCGACCGGTTTCCGACAACTTTACATCCCAATCTTCGACATTCTTGGGGATATAAACATCAAACAAGATTTGGCCAAGAACTCCGTTAGGCTTGCGAGCTTCGTCGTCGTCTTGAGTACTGGACAAACGAATCAAATCTTGTTTGTGTTCATCTACCACAGACCCGCCGTTGCCTACGTAGTAACCTACGGTGGTAGGTACGAAGAAATGATCGGTTGTGACAAGTGGAGTTCCGTCGAAGCTCCGGTTAAGACCAGAGGTTGAGTTTCCCAAGCTGTGAACCGGTTCTGATATCTCATCATCATCACACTGAGTTTCTTTCATAGCTTCTTCTCTGTTCTTCTGCAAATAAACAGAAGCTGCTTTCGACAAGAACTCGGATACAGCAGCTTTATAGTCGACTTGATTATACCGATAATGACCTTAAAAAAAACAAACACATAAACATTCCAATCATAAAGAAACTATTGTTGGGGAGAATCAAGAACATTTCACTAACCAACGTGAGGAGAATCATTCCATCTAACGAGTTTTACATTTCCTCCTAGCTCTTGAAGACGCGTGGCGAAATTGTGTATAGTTTTATAAGGAGCAAGATCATCGTTTTCAGAGCATAGAATGAGATAAGGAACTCTCATTGTCTGCACCAAAGAGGTCAAAATAAAAAAAACGAAATCAAAACTCTGAGATTCTTCTTTTACCCTTTCATTAATATGTAAAGAAGAAAAGAGATGCTCTCTTACTATAGTGGAGTAAAGAGTCTGCCAATACTCAGCTCGCTGCGATTCAAACCTGTTGAGGAAAACATAGTCGAGACTCGAAGCGATACCATTGGCTGCCCATACAAATGGTTTTGGTGGATTCGACATTCTCAGTGTAGTTGGATGAACCGCTAATTTAGCTCCCAAGTCGCTGGTGAAATCCACTGGAGATGAGTCGTAGATAAACCCTGAGATGCAGTTTCTAACCAAACTACAATCTTCCTGAAAACACACACATTCAACTCAAGATTCATCGAGACGAGAAAGAAGGGTTTTAAGCAATAACAGCAATGGCATTTGATGAAGCAAGCAGCAATTACCGGATTTAGCCCTGTTTCACATATTCCTTCAAGTATCTGCATAAGTATATACATAAGAAGCTTAATCTTCCTTCTCTGATGTCAATTATGAAAGATTCAGGAGAAATGGTGATAAAGAGAAAAACCTTACTTGAAGAACCTTATACATACATGCATTAGGACCACCTGAGAAAGAAGCAAACACTAGTGGAAGTGGCTTTGCTTTGAGCTCCTACAAGACATCATCAAAAACCAGATTCTGAGTACAATTAAGTTAAACAAAAGAATCAAATTTTATAGAAAACACTTATTATTATTACTCCTATTCTCGTTCTCTGTTTATTTATTCCTCTATAGAACAAATCCAGAATAATGTTTTGAGTATTTATTTTTTCAAAAATTCAACTTTACACATTTCCCTATGTAATAAACAAAACCATTTTGTACCTTCACAAGTTCAGACACAACATTAGAAGCTAACTCCGAAGCTTTGTCTGGTAAGAACCTAAACATGAAATCCAAAATTGAATCAAGAGAACTCAATATTTAAGGGAATTCTCTCCAGATAAAGCTGGAATTGTTAAGAAATGGATGAGGAGAGAACAAACATGTTGAGAAATTGAGAATGGCAAACGAGTGAATCCCAGAGAAGTGAAGAATAGAGATCGACATGGTTCTTGAGATTGCGTTCTTCGCTCGACATCCAAGCGAAAACCACAACGATCGCTTCGCTTCCTCCTCCTTCTCCGTTGTTGTTGTTCCTCTTTCGCCAATAGTACTTTCCTCCATATCCCCACATCTTCTCTCCTCCTCTGTCTCTCGGAATTAGGGTTTTTTATTTTATTTTCTGGCGAAGATGTAGGATTTCAATTAAGATTAAACATGATGAAAGGAGAGGGCACAAGCTTCGAGCAGAGAGAGACGTAGAGGAAGAAGATAGAACAGATCACATTCGTTATCGCTTGGCTTCGAGAAAATAATATTATTTACATCAATATTTTTAAATTTGGAAATTAATACATTTAATTTGTTTATACTACTAACGTTTTCCTCTTATAGTAACAAACCGCATGTTTGCAATTAAACATTTGTTTTCTATAAACAAATGGGAATGGCCAATAAAAAAACAAACTCTACATGTGTCAAAAAAATTGTTTAAAGAACTTAGATATTTATACTTATAAAATACAAGTCAATTGACAATTCTCAATTTTTTGTGTAAGAGTATGGAGACAAATGTCTCCAACATTTTATTCTAGTTCGACCATTAAAAAACTATATGTTTACAAGAGTTTGTGTAGTCTCAATACTATTTTTTTCCAACACCGAGTTAACCTCCATGTGAGGAGTATTAAAAGCATAAAAACTAACAGGTAGAGAAAGTGCCACATTTGCTAAACCATTTGCTAATTTATTAGCTCCCTAAACACATGAGACATCCGGACTATCCAGTCTCTTGACAAAAAGCCGTAGCACAACCGTACTAGGAAAAAAAGGAGGTGAGAATCACTGATTCCCTTTATCAAAAACTCCACCACTATCCGCGAGTCTACCTCAACATCCAACCGATGTACTCGCTGCTCCCAAGCTGTATAGAGTCAGTAGTAAACATCCTAGAGCTCTGCTAAAGGGGCTGAACAGATCCCAATATTCACCGAGAAGCCACCACACCACCGGCCCACTTCATCTCTTAACACTCCACCAGCTGTAGCAAGCCCCGGGTTACCGCGTGAGGCCCCATCAGTATTCAATTTCAACCATCCTCTCATTGGAGGCTCCCACGCGATTTGCTTCTCCACTCTGTTACCCTCCCTACTTTGGCCTCTAACAACAGTGTTAGCAGTCCACACTTCCTTAGCTTGATTTTAAACAAAACACACCCAGTCTCGGTATTTTTTTGTGGACCCAAATAAGTTCCCACATCTCCACTTCCAACCCCACCATACTGTAACTGCAAACAACGTTGACCAAGGAGAACCCGCAACCTATGTTTCCTCTCCTAAGTTCACATATACCCATTCTAACATAGATTTTTCAAAAAAGTCCCTTTTCTTTCTCACGGGTACAATACGCAGCCATATTCCCATCATTACGGGACAATCTCTTAGAATATGAATTATAGACTCATCCCCTCCGCGACATACCTGGCACACCCTTGTGTTACTAAGATGTCTCCTCCATCTCTCCATATCCGTCATGATTACTTGGTTCATAACAAGCCATAGAAATACTCTGACTCTCTCAGTGGCCGTCACCTGCCAGGCCCTTGCAAAGAAGGACTGTAGATTCTGTCTCGGCTCTTTGTTCCGGGTGAGCAACTTATGAGCTGATTTCACCGTAAACTCCCCATTCTGTTCGGAACTCCAAGATATTCTGTCCTTAGCTCCAATGATGTCATCCAGTACAACAGCCGCCAACCTGAGTCTAGTATTCATGGAGATGTATTGGATAATCCGATCCCATGCCCAGCCTTGACCACTCCGCTATAGCTCCCTCGCTGTAAGTTCCACAATCTCTTATGGAACCTCAACAGTAGCTTCTTCCAGCAACGAAGTCTGTAAGAGCCATTTATCTTTCCAAAAATGGATGCTACGACCAATCACCCAACTCACTCCCGGAATCACTACTTCACGCACTCCCCTGATCATACTTCGCCATAACGGTGACCAATTTCCTTTCGCCAAGACCCATGAGGTCTCCCGTAAATCTTTAACTTGGCACTTACTATGTACCACTTTCACCCAAAGTGTGTCAGATTCTTGTGTCACCCCCCACCCTAGCTTAGAGATAAGGGTCGTGTTCATGTCACATGCCAATCGAATGCGTAGACCTCCCTCTCCTTTGGGACGACATAGCTTATCCCAAGCGATCAAATGCTGTTTTCTCTTCTCTGCAGTATCCCCCCATATAAAACTTTTCGAAATTTTATCGAGCCTGCGCAAAGTTGAGCTTGGTAGCAGAATGGTACTCATTGTATGTACCGGTATCGAGGACAAGACTGCCTTTGTAAGTGTAATACGGCCCGCAAAACTCAGCATCTTTCCCTTCCATCCTGCCAGCCTCGAGGAAACTTTCTCCAGCACTTCACCAAAAGTTTCTTTGTTTATCCGCTTCTGTAGTATAAGCATGCCTAGGTATTTGCCAAGCTCCCGAGTGACACTTATACCGCTCTCATCACTGATCTGTCGTCCCAGCTCCTTACTTACATTATCTGAGAAGAAAATTTTTGATTTCTCTAGACTCACTTTTGTCCTGAGGCCACACATAAGCTTTCCAAGATACGTCTTATTACCCGAACCTGAGTTACAGATGCCTCTGCAAATAAGATCAAGTCATCCGCAAAACAGATGTGGGAAAGTCTTGGCCCCCCACGGGAGAGACGAATAGGCTTCCACTCCTTTAGATCAATTGATCTTTCCACCATGTGACAAAGTCTCTCTAAACAAAGGACAAAGAGATATGGTGACAGAGGATCACCTTGGCGCAATCCTCGTTGTGGTGTAAAGGGTTCCATTAGCTCACCATTCCAGAGTAGGGTCATAGAGGGTCCGGAAACACATTGCATAATCCATCTCACCCATGACTCTGGCAATCCCGCTACTCGTAGCGTATCCTCCAGAAAGTCCCACCTGATTCGATCATACGCCTTTTCAAGGTCTAGCTTCAGCAACATCCATCCTCTTCTCCCTTTCTTTCGTTTCATCAAGTGTACAGATTCTTCAACAACTACTATGTTGTCCGTACTTAATCTCCCCGGGATAAAACTGGATTGTGCTGGGCCAACTAACTGTGGGATTGCGGTTTTCAATCTCATCACCATGGTCTTTGTAATGGTTTTGAATAACACATTACAAAGACTGATCGGTCGGAACTGCATAATATGCTCTGGTTTCAGAACCTTCGCAATGAGCACGACAATAGCATCATTTGTTCCTGCAGGTAGCTCACCCGTACTGAAGAAATCTAAGACAAACTTAGTCACCGAAGGACCAACCACCTCCCAACTGCTTTGGTAAAACACAGGTTGATACCCATCCGGTCCTAGTGCCTTGTATTTGCCCATGCTTCTAATAGACTCTTCTACTTCCCCTGCCAAGAATGGTTTGTTTAACTGTCCCAGCTCCTCCCTGGTCAAAGGGATGAAACCCTTCGGTGGAAGACACGTAACAACAGGGTCTACGTCCTCTATGGAGTAAAGCCTGGCATAGTAATCAACGACTAGTCTCTCCAGCTCTGGTTGTTGAGATATCCATCTACCTTCGCCATCTCGTAGACTTTCAATCCGATTACGCCATCTTCTTACAACAGTAGTGGTATGGTAGTACTTAGTGTTTCTATCACCAAGTACAATCCACTTTTCGCGAGATTTTTGGAACCAGAGAACCTCTTCCTGCTCTAGGACAACATCAAACTCCTTAAGTAGAGCTGCCTCCCTTTCCAACAAATCATCTGTTTGGTTCTGATCCAAGAGCGTTTGAACTGCCTTTATCTCCTGCACAAGACGTTCCTTACATTGTTGGACATTCCCAAATATCTCTCGATTCCACTTCTGAAGTTTCCATCTGAGAGCCCTCAGAGCTTCTGTAGTTCTCAACTCACTCCTCCATGAATTTGCAAGAAACTCCTGGAAACCCGTGTGCTTTAGCCAGGCGGCTTCAAATCGGAAAGGTCTCTTGCGAGGGTTCCTCACCAGCCCCGGTTCCAGCTGTAGATATAGTGGAGAATGATCCGAGGATAAAAACGGTAAATGCGTAACCACCGCTTCTTGCCACCGCAACCTCAACTCCGCACTACAAAGTATCCTATCCAAACGTTTTGCAACAAAGTTTCTCTTTGTCTTCCCTCTCTTCCAAGTAAACTGGCCCCCCGAGAAACCCATATCAATTAAGGAGAGTTTATTCATCCATTCTCCAAAAGCCAAAGAGTCTGGAGAAAGCCGACCATTTCCTCCCGTCCTCTCATCCACCCGAAAAATTGTATTGAACTCCCCTCCTACAATCACTGGCCCATCAATACTCTAAACAATGCTGCTTAACTGTCCCCAAAGTCCACTCCTTCTACTCACCGTAGGAGCTGCATAGACTACAACTAAGTGAACACTCTCCTCCCAATTAGCTATTCGTGCATATAAAATTGCTCTGCCAAATCTACAATCGTGACCTCCCCTACTTCAGTGCGCCAGAGAAGCCACAGCCCGCCACTGATGTAAGCATCAATGCTTATATCAAGAAGAAACACAAAGGAGAGGAGCTAGAACCTGTTTTGCTTGAAGATAAGGAGCAAATGAGACATGTAGCTGTTTTCAAATGAGTTAAGGACTTAACAACAAAACACTGTCGTTCTATGCATCAAGGAGGACGTTCTGATCAAGCTAAACCATGTCTGGGCCAGTTTAATTCACAAGAAGACCAAGCCAAACCACCAGAACCACCAAATCATATGGATGGACCAACATTCATGATTTCAAGACCATTTAAGGAAACTTCCACCATATCTTATATCACCACGCCTCATTTACATTCATTGGCATGTTATGAAGATACCAAGAGCTCTAAACCACCAGACCAAGCCAATAACCAAGTCAAAACATTCCAAACCGAAGAAGATATCACCATGAAGACAGTTTCCTTTTCTAAGCATGTTAACTTTGCTCCAAAGGGAAACTATGACCAACGACCACTCTCTCTCAGCAATCTCGACCCTCCATCCTCTAAAGAAGATCCTGGACGTTCATACAAAGATCAAGACCACAAGATTCGTTCCCCCTCTCTCATTGCCACAAATCAAGCATTTTTCCCCCTTTATGCCCAAAGACTAGCTACAAGTCAAGCCAAACTTTATGCTTTGTTTTTATTACCTTGTTACCATTTTCTACACTTCATTTTGAGCACTATATAAGCTCATAAGCTTGTACTTTCATACCCACGAAATTATTTAATCAAAAACCTTTTTTTGCTTCTAAAAGAAATATTTCTTTTGAATCAATATTGTTCCTGCTTATTA